TGGATCCATAGCCATAATTAATCAAACAAATACAGTCTATAAAAAAAACAAAAGGTGAATACAACAAACCGCAGTAGTCACTTACTAAATAAATGTTGTTGAATATGACGAACTTTACGATATGAAAATAAAATATAGAAGCTTCGAGAATAGAAAGAAGAAAAGTAATGATCGTTATAACATGGTCTAGGCTATGTATGGTCAGAAATGAAAGAATAAAAGAGAGAAAAATAAGATCTGCACGTAATGTCTAAATAAAAAAAGAGAAAACAACATCACACATATTATTGATGCGAATGATAGGAAACAATTCAATCGAGTCTTAATAAATTGATTGGACTATATTATTCTTTGGAACCCAGGTCCATCATTCAGGCCGTCTGAAACGACGTCTTAAAAGGCCTGAAACGGTGAAAAAACGGGGTAATTATTGCCCTAAACGATGAAAAACGATCACCGGTTTTCGCCGTTTTTTTACCGTTTTCCGTCAGCTCGGATTGAGGGCCGTTTTTCCCCGGAACGTAAACGGTGCCGTTTGAAGTCGTTTCCGATGAAAAACGGTAAGTGGTAAAAGGACAGTTTTTTCATCCTATCTCACCTTAATCTCGTCGTTTTCCATCGTTTGAAATGAAAGTCGTTTCCATCGTTTATCGTTTATTTTTTGCCAACATATAATATCTAATAACGTTATGAAATATTTATTTTCATCAGAAGAATCTACAGGAAAATAAAACCACGCAAAATAAAATACAACAATTACGCGGAACAACAACAAAAAGTCACACGAAAAACAATAGTATGTGACAAGAGTAAATAAGAAGTATTTTCTAGATGAGCAATTTCATATGAACGAAACAAGGTTTCGGAAAACATTTCAAATAAAAAAAAATATAACTCAAATATTAATTCTCATGACTAAATATTTTTATCAGCCATGCGTATAGGAATTATGAATATCTTGTGTAGCTGTAAACGATAATTCAGTAGTTGGAGTTGAACTTACTGTTATTGCTCTTGGTTGTTGTGGTGATTGCTGTTGCTGTCCGTGTAATACTACTTTTTGCTTCAATTTTCTTGACCCTTGATCATATAAAAATCGACTTAATTTTACACGTAATGTATTGTTATAATAACGACGATAACCATCTTCTGATAGTCGATATTTGATACGTATTGCATCTAAAAGAAATTCAACAACGGTTTTTTTCAATGCAGAAAGGAGCAATATATGGAAAAGACAGATGACTTCTACTTTGAGTTAGCATCATGCTTACGTTTTCTGAGAATTCGATAGCGCAGTTGTTACTTGTAAAGACAGAGATGACAAAATGATACATGTAACATTTCCATTTACAACTTTATTAAACGATAGTTTGTTTAAAATATTTATAAGTGATTACCCAATCGACTTTTCTGACGGTTGCATCTTTTGTCAACTTACTATTCAAAATTCGAAAACGCTCTTCATCCAAAAGTTTTTTCTGATACATGTGTGCAGCTTGTGATGGCAAGATACTGGATCGTAATTCTTCTTCTGTAAATAAAATACCCATAAGTTTTCTTCCATAATCACCAACATCTCGACCAGCAACTTTCAGTAAATTTTTACCATTCCATGACTATACGATAATAATTCAGAAAGATGAAATAAGAACTCAATCATAAAGTATGCTTACAACTACATCGGGATAATTTTCTTTATCGCTTTCATCACGATATGATGATAATTGATCGTTTTTCTGAAGATGAAAACAAACCAAATAACAAAAATATTATCAAGTCCAAAAGGAAAAAAGTACCGACAGATAATGATGGAATTGTTAGATAATCCACTTGTTTTCTCAACTTTGAAACTTCTTTTTTTAACGAACGCATTCCACTAGTCATTTCATCTTTGAACATAGATTCTAAATAAAAAAAAAAGGATAAACTTGTATTAGAAAACGTTGAATTCACAATATAACAAAACATGAATCAGCATTACCAATATTTGTATCAGAACAACAATTATTATCTTGCGTGGAACACGTTATACGTGAAGCATTATCTGTCATGTTAAATTAATACAAATTACAGATGAAAACTATCGCTGAAAAAACTTAGTTCATTCATACCAGTAATTTTTTCTTGATAATGATGATGCACGTTTTTGTTAACATCACGATCACGACTAACAGTAATTTTTGATCGACTTCGATCATCATTTTGCAATGAACGATCTGTAACAGAAACAAAAAAAATATATGAAAAAATAAATGTGAAAATAAAAATTCCAGATTTAAAAGTCCATACCACGATTGCAACGTTGATTCGATCGTGATGATAAGTTACCATTATTATATGAACGTTTCAAAGCAGCTAAATAAAAAGAGAAAGAAATATAACAATTGTTTAAATAAATAGTGATATTTGTTACGTGTACTAAAGCCATAGCTAGGTCGTTTCAAACGACTTGTTGATGATTGATTGACATGCAACGTGTCGTCACCATTATTATTGTCATTAATTTCATTGTCATCATTGTCGTCACTTCTGACGTCATCATCATCGTCATCACCTTCTTCTAACACAAATTAAAAAAAAAATTTTTTACAGAGCTAATTTCAAAATTTGTTACCATCAATTTCGTTGTTTCCGCCTTCACCTTCCAATTCTTGCACCTTCTGTTTTAATTGCTTTCGACAATAATCCATAGTACCTAAAATATTTCAGAATTCATATCTCAAATTATACGGTACTTCATATCTTCAGATAGATAAAATTTTACCTGATGTTATAATTTGTACTTCACCGGCGATGTTGGAAACGACAGCTTTATCATTGAACATTTTTTGAACACTTGTTCGACCGACAACTCGATACTTTTCTGGGCCATCATGAGAAACTAAATAATAATATGGTTCCAATGGATTTGATGGAGAATATATTTTTTTTGACTTTTTTTCTCGTTGACTACGATCAAATAACATTTTCGTTGATTATATACAAATACATACTAGAATATTTATCTAAAACAGAAAAAAAATTAGATACATTATTTGGGTAATTAGTCGTGTTCATTATATGTAGAAACAGGTGTAACAAGAATACATTCAGTCATGTCAAATACAATACAATGTTTCAATATGCAATCAGTAACAATAATTGTTTTTTTACAAGGGCAATTTTCTAAAATAAAAAAATACCTATCTAAAGGTTCTTTCAATAAATGATAATATTTCGACTCTTCAAAATAATCACTATACTTTTGCTTTACACGATACATGTTAACAACAGCATATGATTTTTCTTTGGATTTTAAAGAAAAAAAATACTCAATGGTTCCAAAGTTATAATAACATTCATCATATGAATACTGGATGAAATAACTTATGGAGTTACCACGTTTCTTGTAGATCAATGAATGAAACATTTGTTGTTTAATAACAAAACGACGATAAATATTAAAGCATTTATATAGTTGTCCACAATCGCATAGTTCAGCATGAAAATTATCATATTGATCAATAGATTCATTTAATGGATCAAATGCTTCATTCACTGTTGTTGTTCTTGTCGATTTATTATGTAAAGAAAAATCGATATTATAGTAATAAGCAATTGATTCACCATAATATCTAGTACCATGATGATTGGACCCAACAGATCCAATGAGATCTTCTTGACCAAAGCATCCGATATTTGATAAAGCACCATGATTTTGGTACATTGTTGCAAAATGCGTGTGTAAATGCAAAACCAGATTCTGAAGGCCATAATAATGTTCATCATGATCACGGTAAAATTGTTGAAATAATTCATCAGCAAGCTTGCTTGTTTCTAATCCAACTATTGATGGACCATGTAATAAACGAGTAAAGCAAACAAATAATGCTAGATGAGATAATTTTTCAATGGACAGATATAAATGAAAAATTGGTAAAACGCCATAAAATAACATATTTTTTAATTCAGTTGCTTTTACGAAACCAAAATTACTTATTGCTTTCATTTTTCGATTAAAATAATGTGGAAAATTTTGTTTTGTTAGTCGACTATCGACTTCTAAACGTTCAATTGGCTTCAAACTGTAAAATATATTTGATATAAGAGATTTTGCATGTCCTAATAGTGTTACATGAAGATAATCAATTATCACTGCATCAGGTAATGGTATATCAAGAATTGATGTTAAAATACTTACACCTAGATGTCCATATACATTCATTTGTTTATCTTGAGCAAGATAGGATTCTTCTTCATAAGCAGCTGGATCACGTATAATCATTGGTAATTCAAATTTGTATTGGCGTTTGCCAGCTATATGTTCACCACGAATATAACAGAACCAACAACAAAAGTAACCGCCATGACCGATAAAATCTAAAATAAGCTTCAATGCCGGACAATCACCAGTGATGGCATAAATTTTCAATTTATAATTTAATTTTTCATTAATTACAATATCTAAAATTTAGGAAAAAAATTGCACACAATTTAGTCCGAATAATAACAGTAATGAACAAAGAATTGCCCAAACGAGCACACAGAAGAATCATTTTGTCTTGGTCTCGTTCTTAGTGCGATCCCTGATTTTTATTACCTAACAATAAGCTTAAAAGTATAAAGTCAAAATGGTAAAAAAATCAAAAATATTCATAAAAAAAAGGTCTTGACTCCATGGAAATAACTGAAGTCAAAGGGAATTGAATTTCATTTACGGTAAACGGAGTTTGAAAAAGAAGTAATTCGGAAAAAAGGTGAAATGATATAGTTTATTTATTAAATTTAGACATTCGTTAGGCGGAAAGTCGAATCTAAGCGTAAAATAATAGAAGAACAGAAACGTTTATCAAATATTCTCTATTGCCAAAATATTATCACCTTAAAGTAAAGAGATAAATACCTTGTAATTTCACAGATTGAATTTGTGAAATAATTGATTTGAGCCATATACGTGGTTCTGGTTCTGGTTCTGCATATGCAACCCAAATCGACATTAACATCATATTGTAACGATGATATCGAATAGTAGACGGCAACTCAACAAAAGAAGCACTGAATAACCACATTTTAAGACGAGTTGAACGGGTAAGGCTAACGCCATCTAAATGAAGTATGAAGCTAATAATATTTTCTGAAGAATGTTTTTTTAATAATTCTTTATATAAATGTCTGTATGGAATATCTTTTGTTCCTTGTTCATCAAAATCATTATTGATTTGTTGTTTATATTCTTCTATAATTGGTGATAAACGTTTAACTAATGTTGTTAAAACATCTTTCAAGTTAACATCATAAATATCAGCTATTGTTTTTTCATCAAAACATTTACAAGTCGAACATTTTTTTGTTTATATTTTAAATATTGTTTACATATTAAACAAATAGATCGCCTAGAAAATAAATTGTCGACATTCATAAATGATAAAAGATCATCCATTGTAGAAGGAAGATGATTTGGTATAGGTAAAATCGATTTAATCAATGTAATAAGACGTGTTGAATGTGACTTGGAAATATCTCCATCTCGTAATAAATGCAATAGATCAGTACAATAAGATTTACTTGAAACATCTGTATACTCGTGTAAACATACCTCTTCAATGATTGATTCATTATCATCTTCATAACATATTGAGTAATTGCTAACATTATCAATATAAAAATCATTATTACTTGCATTATATTCAAAATTAATCACATGATCTTCAGCACTAGAAATGATACAGTTATCTTTATTCACTATTGCATTATAATCATCATGTAAACCATTATCATTATAATCATTTTCTTCATTTGCAATTAATTGTACTTGTTGTTGAAGATCATGTAATTGAGAATAATGACAAAATTCTTCTGTTAATTGACATTTGGGTAAATGCAATGAATTTTCTGTTTGTTGAGCGAGATTAGTTCGAGCACGAGCGTTTTCATTATTTTTTTTATATCTTTTACGTCGTTGTTCTTGGTCATAACAAATAGCATTTTCCAAATCGATGTTCATAAATGAAATCTAAAAATCACAAAAACGATAATCTAATGTTTTATCACAAATAATTTCAAATTTTTTTTATAGAAGTTACAGACAAACGGTATGAACAGAATAGACGTAATATAATAAATTGGAGAGAAAAAAAAGCAGTAATAGCCAATAGTGGCAAGATAAAGACTCTCAGCACATTCACTATCATTTTCCATTCGAAACAAGCACAAAATTAGTCAGTATCACATTAGAATAAATAGGCTAGTCAGTATAGCGAAAAAAATGAGCATTCACTAAAGACACGTCTATTTTATAGACGTGTTATTCTTCGTCGGTCGACGTTCATTGTTTGAATAGTCGACGAAGAGAATTATAATTAAAAAAATATTGCGTATGTTTTATTTTAGTTAAATAAGAATTTCTGTAATTCGAAAAGGTTCTATCAACTTTTCTTCTGTTTTAAATGTGTTATAGGTGTAGCTAGAATCCATAGAGTGACATCTCGGCATGGTACAGCTAGTTTAATGCTTTTAAATCAATTATATATATATATATATATAAAGTATAGGGGCGATCAATTTACATTTACGAAAATTTAATAAATCCAAAAATAAATTTTAATAAATTTAAATATAAAATAAATTTAAATATAAAATAAATTCAAATATAAGATAAATTTAAATA